TGACTGTTCAATAACAAAGCCTGTTGGCAAAACAAAGAGAAAATTGAAAAATCGGTTTAAGACGGAAACTCGATTTTCGTTTCCTTTTTCTAGCAAAACTATTATCTTTGTAACTTACATTTTACATTACTTGGGATTTGCAAACCCCATTTCCCTGAAAGTTCTCTTCCCCATGGGGTATGCGGACAGAACAAAGTATAAAGCAGAATTTGTAGAAAAATTCGAAACGACGTTTATACGTTGCACACTTCTCTAACATAACTATCTAACGCTGTTATAGATAGGCATGCACGAAACCGATAGTTCGGTGACCGAACGGTTCGCAACCGAACATGTTTGTTAAACGGTTTGTTACCGAACATCTTCGCTACCGAACATGTTCGGACGAAGATTGCAAATACGATAGTTTATATTGTTCTCATCAGAGACATGGACGAGCGTTCTGCTGACAAACTATTAGGACAAAGTACCATAAATCTTATAAAGACACATTCAAATTAGAGCTGCAACTGTCTGTCTACTTTTCTTCAGTGAGGAAAACCATTTTTGCATGAAAACAAAGTAAATTTTGTCGCCAAGTAAGAATGTTATAATGAGCAATAGCTCGGCTATGTTTTTACTTGTATTATTATTTTTAATAAAGTTTATATAAAAAAAACAAAAACAAAGTAAATCAATCTGCTATACAGAGGCCACGTTAGTAAGTAATCAGAGGGTAAATCAGATATAATGGAAACTAAAGGTACTTTCAACTTCCTGTAATAAAGCAAACATAAATTTGCTGCTGTAATTCAAACTTTTCTTTACATGACTACATACGGCTACGGCGTAATCAAGACTGCTCCTCCGTTTGGTGTAATGTTCACCATTTTTTCTGTTTTTTTACAAAGATTTCTTTCATGCGTTTTTGCGTTCCCAAGTTCTCAGCTTTAACAAACTATTTTTTTAAACCTTCGGTAGCGATCCGGTAGAAGACACATTCGCTCACATTGTACTTTAGTCTATTTTCTCACTGGTTAGTTCCTTGAAAAGCTTCAATTTCATGCAATTTGCCTTTAGTCCAGATCAGGCATGCCACCATCGCAAGATAGGGCTCGCTGATCGGCAGCGCACATGTTCAGTAGCGAACCGTTCGGTAACCGTTTGGTGGCCGAACGTGTTCGGTAACAAACCATTCAGCACCGATTAGCGATTGCTAGTTTGGGATTGTTGCATGCCTAGTTATAAATATTCTTTTCGAAACAAAACCATGACTGTAGTTAAAGCTAGAATCGTCTATTCTATACCACTAGGCAAATCTATGAATTAATTATGTTCTCTGGCAGCAACACCGCCAGAATTTTAGGAAGCCAGATCTGCTTAGTTATAATTTAAATTTTTAGCAACAAATATCATCACACAATCAAATAATCCCATTTTTGGGGTATATAACACAACAACTGGTGGGTCTAGCAAACCATCATCGAGCGGTGCAGGTGCATGCCAGTATCCTTCTACAGAAGATCCAGTAGAGGCCATAGATAACATGTTAGCAACGAAATATACAAATTTCGGTAGTGGGAAGTCAGGAGTATCAAGTGCAACAAAAGGTGTGGGAACTGGTTTCTATGTAATACCATCCAACGGCCCTTCTGTTCTCAATGGATTTCAGTTCGCAACTGCAAATAAGCTTCCGTTAAGTAACCCGCTCACAGTCACAATTGAAGGTAGTAATTTACCAGCGTTATCGCTAACATCTGGCTCCAGTTGGACATTATTGTACAATGGACCAACTGGTATTCCAAATACTGATCCTGGACGTAACGTATATTGTTCTGCACAGGCAATTAACAACACGAATGCTTATAGCAGTTACCGTTTATTAATTACATCACAACTTGGTTCTGATACTAACGTTCAATATGCTGAGATACATTTACTGGGATATTTTCCAGGAGGTAATTAGGAAGTTGTTGTTTTTATGTAAGCAAAAGAAGTTGGCATATCACCGACAAAAAATTAAAGTTCATTTAGAGTTAAAACAGAGTGCTTTTTCGTATTCAGCACACTTGATAACCTGGAAAATTTTCTATTCTTAGCGAGGGATACCGTCAAAAAGTTAAGAAAACTTTTTAAAATTGTTTAATTTTACCATGAGAATTTTTCTGCGTCAATTTGTTTGAAAACTTTTCTTAACTTTTTGACGGTACCCCTCGCTAAAAATAGAAAATTTTTCAGGTTATCAAGTGTGCTGAATACGAAAAAGCACTTTTCTTTAACTCTAAATGAACTTTAATTTTTTTTTATCTGTGATATGTATTATGGCTGATTGCGGGCGTATGCAACAGCTTCTGGTGTGCTTCTTTTAAAGTGATACACCGCCGGATCTGTAAGAAACTCAGTAAGAGAAGGCGGAAATAATTATCAGTTAGTATTTGGGCGGTCGGTGTTTCCGTTATTGCCTTCCTTTGCATTTAATTAAGGTGGTTTATTGCACACTTGAAAAATTCAGTGATTAGGATAATATGGTATGAGGACTGACGATTAACTGCATGCAGTATAGTGTCGCTAAAACATATAGAAAGTTAGAAGTTCGAACTGGAATTCATGGGATGAAAATTTCATATTTAAATAAGCATGAAATAACATTTAACCATGTTTCTTGGTTATGCTCAAGAACAGCTACAGAGATCTCCGGTGAGAGCGCCTCATGATGAATCTCCAACACAATCTCTTAGTGGCGTCCTCATTCTCCACAGACTGCTGTCACTTAACGGTGTAAAATTATTCTCCTCGCAGTTTTGTTTATATAAAGTGATAGTGTTGCTCATTGATGCAGTTAAAACTGCCTTAGGTAAACGACACTAATATCGTAAACTACATGTGAAGCCCGTAGGCGTATCTTGATGTAAATTGTTCGAAAAAATAAAGTCTAAAAAGTGCTCTGATTTAGAATGATCTAAGCGTTAACGAGTAATTATTTTCGGAGATTTCACACCGCAAGCACCAAAACTCTTCCTATAGTCTCTCGCAGAATCAATTTTGTATCGATTACAACCAAAAATTTTCATGAGCTGCTCTTTAGAATATTTTTCCGGAGGAATGATAGGTAAAATTAAAACTCGTTGTTTTTCGTCTCCGGTCTGATAAGCACCTAGCAGGTGTTTCAGATCAGAAGGACCTTCCTCATCCTCTTCGCTCGATGAGCTTGAAAGAAAATTCCGTAACTTTTCGCCTTGATGCGCCGCAACTGACTCAAGATAACGTTTTTGAATGCTTCTTTAGTTTACGCGCACTTTTTCGAAAAATAGTCGACAAAGAGCGTTCAATATAGCGTTCAATATGCTGAGATACATTTACTGGAATATTTTCCTATAGGTAACTAGAAGGATTATTATTGTTCTAAGGGTAGGAAACACAGCATGTGTGGAATACTTAGTAGAGAAAACGTCCGAAAATGGCTTTTTGAGGCGATTCGTGGTTAAGCCTTAAGTTTTCGGTCTTTATGACCTATTGGCCGTTGGAGTTACTTAGTTGAGATTGATCGATGTTTTAATTTGTTTGGACGGGTATCTGATGATCGGTGGCGGATCCAGAATTACTTTTTGGTACGTGCGGTATACGATAAAAGTGGAAGATACGTGTGGTTGTGATAGAAATCAATTATTCTAAGAGAGATCTGCTAGGAAAAAATAGTTTTTTTGGTTAAAAGGTTACGAGAGGCCGATCCAACCCGCTCGTACCGCTCGCGGGCTGGATCGGCCATTGGTGATGATGATCTGGCATCTGAGAAAATTTCGTCATCTACACCATAACGTTTTAGCTTGTGAATAAGATCACGGTGCCAGAAACTGTTCAAAGCTTTGCTTATATCCAAAAACACCTCTAACAAATCCCTATTCATCAAACCTTTATTTATTAAATGCATATTTTCATACAGCTGGTATTTAATAGGTATCGGCTGGCCACGCAGTCAATAATGTCTAAAAAATCGTCATGACCGAAATTTTATTCTAATATGATTTCAACGTCTTAAATGTTTTATAAAAAGTGGCTGCCAACTTGCACGCTAATTGAAAACCTATAAAATATGTTACAAAATCCATGTTTGGGCTCTACTTCTTTGATTTTTAAATTACATTTAAGGTTGCATCAATAAGGGCATATAGTTTTTATGTGGGACAGATGGATTGAGTGTTTTGAAATCATATGTTTTAATCGCTACGATAAAAGAAAATAGAAATTTCATCATTTTTGCACACTGAGATCAAAAATAATCAAAAAACAATTTGAAACAGCAACGATAATAATAAAAAAAAAAGTTAATAACATTAGATGGTTTTTATTTGATTGATTTTACAATGTAAATAATCGAAAAGAATTTAATCAATTTGACGAAAATCTCTTGCACATTGAACGTGTACAATTGTACCATCATTATATAAAACAAAAATTGGTTCATAAAATTGTGAAAAACAATGAGCACATTGTCTTGTTTCTGTAAGTTTTGTACAAGGTTTTTGACAGATATTTAGTTTTCGTTTTAAATTTTCATTTTGAACACGACATAAGGATGATTCAATTTTTTTTGAACGTTGAGTATGAGAGTTCAAACGTATGACATGACTAAGTATGTCAATCAATGATGTCAACGAAAAACTGGATGGTAATAGTTGAAGAATCTAGAAAATTAGAAAAATAATGTAGTTATAATTTTAATTTGAATACTTTATTTTAAAGACGACTTACTTCGATGAAATCAAATTCAGCATCACTATTACCTAATAAGTGTTTAATTGCATTTGATATCTTCTCTGAATCGCTATAGAAAATGATGAACACAAATGGTGAGACAAAATTAAAATTAAAAATATATCTTTACCTGTTTAACGATGCTAGTAATATTTTAAATAACGTATGGAATAAATGTTGACGATTTTCAATCGTTTTATCATATGAGATATACACACAATATTTTTCGGCATAAATATAATCATGAAGTTCATTAACGATGATCTTAAATGCTTGTGTATAGTCATTCATCTAAATAGATCATGTATGATGAAACTTTCTTTCAAATTATGAGATTAAAGTTTTTTAATTCTAAAAAATAGTCTACCATTCGTTGATATAGTATAAGTAGGGATAAGACATGTTGAGAAAGTTTTTAGACTCTCATCGTCCGTATGATATAGACAGCTAAATTCGAATTTGCACATGTTAAATCACCTTTCCTTCCTTCGAAGTGAAATTTTCTTTGGAGTTCCATCTTTAGACTTAAACTCTTTTTCACATATCAAATTTACGATAGAAGAATAATATTACACATACTTTTCCGTACAATAAAGCAACTTCTCGACGAAATAAATCCGATTGATTAAGTCGTGTCAAAACATGTTGTACACGATAGGAATTTGATGTAATGAGGAGTGTTTGCAATTTTTTCCTAAAATAGAAATAAATATCTCCTTGCATGAATATAACCAACTGTTATTTTTTTCTTTGAGATCCTACGAAGAGACGGATATGTAAGAATGAGGAATAGCTATACGTTACACGAGTCAATATATTTCTATCCGATCAGTCCTTTATATACTGAATAGTATATGACTAGTATATGATGACGAGTTAATATACTTCCGTGTGAGACGGATTATCCAGGTTTGTTTACCATGTGCAAAACTGAGAGTACCATAAAATTTAAGAAAGAAGTTTGTTTTCTAGATTCAAACTATTTTTTTACGACTAGTCTAGATAAAACGGGTTGTCGAATGTTGTATATCTTGTATTTCATTCTAATTTGTTCAAAAATGGTGATCACACACTCACACATACCGAATTTCATTTGTTTCATCTTGATCAATGGTAACATTTTGATGTTCCCGTAGTAATTTATCCAAATAGACATTCACCAGCATTGTATGTAAGGATTCACGCTGTAGAAGAAATGAATATTTTATATAGTATAGTTGAAAATTGTCTTTCTTTACTTCTTTTGACTGTTGAAATACTAAATATTCTAAATATTTTGTTAATATAGTCGAATTTGATCTCAAACATTCAATAATTCTATCCGAACGAAATGGATCATTTAATTCTTCACTATCATATTTTTCTGTATAAATCTAAAACAAAGAAAAATTTAATTGAAAATGTCTGCAAATGTAAAATAAAGAATACTTTTAGTGCAAGATTTTCATCGTATGTTAATAACCATTCGGTAAAATTTGCAGCTAATTGACGATCATTTATACGTTCTATAACATGTTCACATACAAATTGAACACCAGGAAATTTATCATCAATTAATTCATTTGAAATAAGCCTAAACTGAATAAAACAATACGAATAGTTTAAATTTATCTTGATAAAAATTTTATCTAACATATAAATCACATCATACCTTTTCCATTGATTTAATGCTTGTTCTTGATTTCCTTTATACGAATTTAATAGACATGAATAGTGATACATATTTGCTTCAATTAATGTTTGATCAAATTCAAGTGGAATTTTGGTAAAATATTCTTGAATAAAATTTGGTATATCATCGAGTTTTATAATCATCATTGCTTTCAATAATACAAGATGATAATCCTTTAGAGAAGAACAACAATAAGAGAATGTCAGACAACGCTCATATATTCTTATTTTTCATACCGGTTTCAATATAAAATCAAATTTTCGTTGTGTCATATAATCATAGAGAGTATTCAACCACTGTAAATATTGCGTTTTTAACTGATGATTATCACCTGTTATCAATGATAATGGCCATGGTGAAATAAGAGGTAGACAATTTGGTATTTGTGCAACAATATCATGATAATCTACATCGGCTTCAATAAATAACTGAAATGCTCTAACAACATTTAATGCTGTAAACTCGATGAGCCCTATACGTTTTTTAGTTAATTGTATCAACTAGAAGAGAGAAAATTTGATTTGTATAATATTATACAAATATTGTTTCTGTTTTTAAACTTACTCTATCCGATGATGGTGATGAACTACTTTCAGCTAATGTTAATGCTTCTTGTAAACGATATGCAGTTAATAATTGTTCAATTTGTTCTTCTAAAGTGACTGGTTCAAGCAAATAAATGACATCTTTTGTTGTAATTATTATTGAATTTGGAGATGTTTGCTGTTGTAAATAAGTGACAGTACGACAATTTTTAAGTGGAATTTCTTGTTTTAATTTATCATCAAGAAAACTAAAATAAACATATGAATTCATATGATTACATATGTATATATTTTATTTATCATACAAATTAACATTCTTAAATAGTTCATAAATACAATAGAGATATTTCTGACAATATAAATCAATATTTTTACCTATAAACGTGAACATGATCTTTAACAATAACAATAATATACGGATGAGAATATAAAAATGAATAAGGTTGACTTAACCACATGATTGGTGCACGTTGACTGGTTCCATCAATAGTAGTATAAACTCCAACATTTGGACCATTCAATAAAAATTCACCCTTCATTGAAACAAAAAATCAACAATAAACGATGTCAAAAAAATATATTTATCTAACATACAGAATTAACTCTCGTAAAATAAGGATTTGTATATTCATCTAATGTAAATATATTTTGTAATGTTCCCCGACGATCATTTGGATTGTACGATAAATATTGTGATTCTGTACAAGCAACAATACCATAATCATCCATTCCCTTGGAAATAGAAATGATTGAATAAATTAACAAAAAAACGAATAATTATCATAAATCACATACGTACGATCATTGTAATGGCATCTTGTACCGATAATTCATAAGTTAAATTTATACTTGTTTTATCTAATCGATGTATTTGTAATTTATTTTTCTTGGTTGATACACAAATCTTTTATAAGAATAAAAAAAAAAGAATAAAATAAATTTTTTTATATGTTCAATAGAGAAAATAAAACAAAATGATCGTTTACTTCAATAAATTGTGGATCCACTGTACGATTTATACTCGTTTCTTTGACGGAAAATATCAATACATTTTTTATTTTTATATTTGGAATTGGCTAAAAAATTAAAAAAGGAAAATTGATTGTTTTTTTGCTATAAAAAGAAATATCTCGTCTTTAAAATACTTGTAAACTATCACTGTCCAATAATTGAATTAAACTATCACTTAATACCAGAACTCGTCGAAATAATGAGATAACTTTTAATTTTATAACGGGTTTTCGCTAAAAAATAAAATGATTATTGCATCATTAGGAAATTATTCCCTGTTTCCTTCTTTTTTTTCCTTACGGTTCCAATATTTTGACTTCCAATACATAAACATTCGTAATCAGCTTTCGATGTAGTAGATGTTGTTGAATTTGAAGATTCTTCTGTTCGACTAACTAACGATTTTTCGCGAAGACGAAATTTGTGAACAAATCTAGAAAAAAATTGTGATACTCATTTTAATTATAATGTTCCTGCAGAAGTTTAGGTGTTGATAGTTTAGCATTTAACATATCAGAAATGAATGGTTTGCTGCTTGATCAGTTCAAGCTCCCCCTTCCCCCACAGTGTGCATCCAGGTGGACTTAAGGTGGAAAAACGAAAGTCGACTTTTCATTGATTCAAATAGCGACAAATATACTGCGAAACATGCTGTATCTGATGGCATAAAAAGTTTTGTTATAAAGCTTATGCAGCGTGGAAAATCAGCCAATCAAAAATTAGTCTGAAAACAGCAGTATCTGTGAGAAAATAAAATTTTTACAAAACTGAACAAACTGGTAAGCAAATAAAGTGTAGATTCCGAATTTGCACATAGTTTACTATCAGTTAGTAAAAAAATTCTTAATTTCGACTTGATATTGTTGAGAAAAAAATAAAGGTTTTTCCTAAATGCTTTTTCGAATACCTGTTTTCAGTAAAATGAGCGCCCCCTTCACATCCCAATTTGAAACTCGTTCAAACTTTGACAAAATGTTCTTCTAGCTTCCCTCTATCATCTGTGTTAGCGCTAATGTTTCTGAAGCGTACAGCAGGTTTTCCAAAAAACCATGGCTTTTCAGGTGTTTTCCATTTATATCGACTCAGAAACGTTTTTGTTTACTAACAATGACATATTCAGAATCAGCGCAAGAAACTACATCGAATGATGTGAGATTAGTAGGTTTCTTTAAGCAAAAACTTGTTGGAAACGCTAAAGTCGAAGCATAGCGTGACAATTTGGCTAAGGATTTTGATATTGGCTATAAAAGCAATCCGAAAGCCTACAAACACTTTTTTTATGGTTTTTATATATGCTCTTTCCAATGATGCGCTTTATAAAGTTCCAGAATACTTATATGTGGGTTTTCTAGAGATTCGATCTCTGGAGAACCCAGACGACAGTCTCTTTGAACTTTGTAAAGCACACCGTTGGAAAGAGCATATATGAAAACCTATAAAAGAAGTTTTTGTAGACTTTCGGACTGCTTCTATAGCACATGTCCACTTGGCCTATGGAAAAATACACACTGTGACTCCTCTCCCCCTCCCAGAAAAAATGTTGACTTTATTATTTATTGCTCTGTCGTTCAGTGATTATATGAACAAAATTTCTATTATTTCATTTCAAATTTTTCTTATGAATAATTTAAATTTATTAATTTCATTGTTAACCTTTACTCATTATCAAATGTATTATTTTGAATTGAATCGTTTTTCCTCTTTTTATATTTGATTTTTTATTCATCAATAATTCTTTTCTCTACATTCATCTTCCGACATGTTGACTTATCTATTTTGTCATCGAGTACACTGTTCATATGATACAAAATGTCAAATGAATCAAAAATGAGAAAGAAAAGGTTAAAATGAAAATGATTGTATACAATTAATTTATTTAATGGATAATTATGTGTTTGTTTTGTCATATATTCTATTAAAAAGTTGTCTATTTATCATATGTGTCTTGTTTTAAACATATTGTGAACTTGAACACATCATTATATTTAAAATTTAATGTTTAGAAATGAACTAAGTTTACAGATCTAATTTTGATATTTCATCGAATTCTGATCAAAACTAGTGATTTATATAAATAAAATTCTTCAAAATTCACTTTATTGTTGCCTAAGTACTCGCCTTTTCTGATATTAATAGATAAAATGCAGCTGCAGATAGACAGCATTTTTCTGTTCAAATGATTTTTTCATCCAGATCTACCGGTATTTCCCAAAGATTTCTACATAGATGTTGATGAGTTTGAATTAGTTTCAAGATGAAGGTAAGACATGCGGCTAGATATGACAGAGTCCGATTTCTTTATTCTGCTGTGCTTATCGATAGTGGGAAGATGCTTGCTCAAAACCCATGATACAAAAAATCAAAACTCGAACGATGTCATCCTTTAGTCACATGTGCCAGATTCATTTTTTAAACCAATCCAGATTTTTTAGCAACTATCTGGAGAAAAAAATTAGTTCACTTTTGACTACTATTGTGACGTCATTTTACGAAGGATAATCGATACAATTAAAAATATTTTGACACTATAGTTTGACACAATCACCATTTTCGATATCAAAATTTGACCAAATTAGATGTTTACTAGAGAGGAAGGTGAACAAAATACAATAGTTATCTTTCGTTCTTTCTTTCCAGCGGACACTATATGCTGCTGATGATTTATGTATATTAAATCTTTTAGTCTAGATGTCTTGATTAGCTTCAAGTTCGATCAATGATGACATATTGAAAATATTATCGTATCGTAGTTATGAAGATGTTGTCAAATGTTTGATATTATCATCAATTTATCTAACTTATCATGTTTCGTTCAACAACATAAGATTTTGTGATAAATTAACAAAAATTCTCTTCCTTTTTTTTCTTCTTCTTTTCATTACAACAGGGCAAACCCATTTTTTATCATGAAAAAGAGGAAATTGTCTATCGTAACAGGTGTCTACAATATTCTTGTATATTTCTTCTCTGTTTTATGCCGATGGACATTTATGATTGATGAAATGTATTAATCTTACCATATCTCTATTATTTTGTCAATTCCATATAGTATGAATAGAAAGTAGTATGATATCAATATTATATTCACTAAGGTTTTTATAGCAAGAAGAAACAAAATACGCCTACTTCTATTATAAATAATTGTTGAGTACATATGGAATAGTAGCAGGCATAAAATAAACGTACACTATGTATATGGATAATAATAATAATAATAATAAGAACAATAACGCATGAATTCTCGTTTTTCTTTTTTCTTCTCCTTCTATTTGTTTGTTCCTTTCATTTCATTTCATACCTAGTCTGAAAAATATATATTGCCCAAAGCTCATTACTGAACCATGATTAAGTTAATCGTCTTGATTGATTATTTGTTATGTCGTAACAAAATTTTCTATAGCTTATATAAATTAAGATCGTTTTTCTTTTCTGTTTTTTTTTTTTTCGTTGTTGTTAAATCTAAATATACTCGATTTGAATAAATTTTTTTTCAATGAACCATAAATAAGACCATGTCTTATTTAAATGTTCAATTATTTCTATTAGATCTTTAGTAATGATTCTATCTTTGATTTTATTTACCCACTAAAGTTCAATATTGGGTGTGTGTTAGATAAATATCTTTGTTAATAATATATAGATACTATAGAAGTGAACATGTTAAGTCAATATAATTTCGTTGATAAGAAATGGAAATATATATATAAAACGAGAATTATCAGAACAAGAAATAATTTCAATTTAATCTTAAAAGTCTCAATCATACATATACTCTCTCTCTCTCTCTCTCTCTCTCTCTTTTCGCTTGGTTGATATGAAGTGTCAATTTTGAAATTAAATATTTCAATCAAGTTCACAACCTTTTACTTTCACAAGAGAAGAAAATATATTGAGGAACATAAACAAAACAAAACCAAAAATATAACGCAATTTTTCTTCTTTTAACTGCCTGAACAGCAAAGAATTTGAATTTGAATTATGTTTAGATCTATGCGATATTTTTAAGGTATATAAGATGAGCGCATTTAAGCATTAACATATAAATTTCCACCGGATACCGGATGTTAATAAAGAAAAAAAGTATACAGAGACCTCAAACAATAAAAAAACTAAACATTCTTCACACACATAGACGTATGCACGCATGCACACATTTAACATTTTTCTCGAGGAAACATATTACGACTCACATAGAAAATTTATAGTCATCGAAACTATTTGTAAAATAACACATCAATATCGTCTACTAAAAAATAGATATCGTGCATGAAAATTAAGCATATTTTTTATATTCAACAAAAATCTGGCTTTATTAATTGAGCTTGGCAATCGAATTCATTTTAACGAAAAAGATGAAATAGAAGAAAAAAAAACTCTCAATTATAGTGAACCAAAATTTTTATCTTAAATAATAAAAACAAAACAAAAATTTATTATACTTATGTAAAAGATGATAGTTTTTTATAACAAAAAACAATAATAAAAACAAGAAAATAAATTAATATAATTACAAATAATATTGAATATAGACCAATGAACAATATCGAATAAGATTTATTAGTCGAAAATAATAGATATGATGATGATGATGCTGATGATGAAACAACGGTATTTAATGGTGTAGATGGTACACCACATGCATTATATTCTAATTGTCTCATTTTTTGTAAATGTTGTTTTAATTCAATTGATAAACATATTGTATCTTGATTAACTATTAAAAGACAATCTCTTAAACGTGAATAGACACGACATAGTGTATCTAATTTATCAGCATCATTAACATCTAATAAACAATTTTCATATTTTAATTGACATTGTGATATAACAAATGGAATTCGACGTCCGGTATCACTAAGAATTTTTAATAAATTTTCTTGAGATTCTTGTTGTCCATTCGTCGTCGTTGTCGTATATACAAACATAATAATTACCATTAATGATGAATAATAATCTGTCATATGGATAACACAATGTTCATCAAAATTTGACCATTAACTAACGATATTTCACAGATATAGACGAGAAAATGATGAGACAACACAAAAAAAGAAAAATCATAAAGAAGAAAGAAATGAGAATGAATATGTGCGACAAATCTGTTTTTCCTTTTTCTTTTTTTTCTCTCTCTTTCTCTCTTCAAAACGTTTTTTACTTCTTCTTCTTTGTTCAACATGTAAGTGATCTCTCTCTTCAGACTAACGTATGTGCATATATCTATGTGTATGTATAGAAAAAAAAAACAGAAAAAAGAAAGAAAGGAGTTTCTTTTGTCGAAGTATTACACATTAAAACTTTGTGAACTGCTGAAAATTATGGATCATGTTGATTATAGTAAATAACTAGAACAACTAGGCTGAGTTAATTTGAGATAAAATATAGTCATTGAAAAAGAAAAATGTCAGAAATTAAACTTATACATTATAAAATGAGTAGGTAATGTTTAATTGTAGAGTCTGCATTTTCAATTAAACTATGAAGAATATTTCTTTAAATTAGAGATTTCAATTGTATATGAGAATTCTACGCTAATTTTACAACAGAATAATTATAGATGAATTAAAACGTGATTTTTTTTTTTTTAGATATAATTTGAGAGAACATAATTTAGATGTCTGAAAGGAGAAATTAGAATAAATTAGAGGATATTTCAACTGTAACCAAATGTCTATCCCATTAAACTCAAATATGACATGGTTAAACAAGATAAGAAAAATACTTTTAACAGCGAGGAAATGTTGTTAATTGAGTAAAATAGAAGTAGAATATTGGATTGTAAAAGCAGTCATGGCTATTAAAAAGTAAAGTCATTGACGCTATCCTTTAGATTAGATGGTATCCTGTCAATTTGTTCCATCAATTTTTTCTTTTTTTTTAAACATCATGAGTTTTGCATAAGGCAGTATCTCGACGAAAAAGATATGGTAAATAAGACTAGAAATTTGAACAATGTGAAAAAGTAGAAAGATAGTTATGATCACTAGGGTAAGAGTATGTATAAAGATGAATAAAGAAGGCAACTGGAGAATGTCAAAATCGACTAGTATTCAAGCTGAAGGCGAATCTCGAATACGCCTAATGATTTACATTTCATGAAAAGTTTGTTATCTTTACTTTAAAACTATCAAGAAATGTCTAAAAAAAGGGAGTAATCAAGGCGCAACCAGACAAATATACTCATCGGTAATCTTTAAACGACGTAAATATTAACGCATTTCTTTATATTTTATTCCCAATTCAAATTCGATCTCATTCACAGAGCGATATTAGGACTATTTATGTTTTCAAAGGAAAAGAAGAGGATTAAATTCTAACGAATGTCAAAATTTAGAAGTCTCGAAACAATTTTCATTGAGGAAATATTTGTCAAAGGGTACTTATTTTGATCGGAACTCGTCATCCGCCTTAGCGAAATGTTATTTTTTTTCTTCTTTTAATTGAAATAATAGAATATGAAAGGAAAAAAGAAGAAATTATTGATGCCAACAAAGATAGTTAAACAGTAATTCATTATTAGCTGAAAAACTCATTCATTGAAAACGTTACTAAACCTACACTTTATTTCTATCTTGCTATATTACGAAATTTGATCATTTCACGAATATTTCCCAAGATAGAATCAGTTTTGTGTCTTCTAATAAGAGTTCAAAGTAACAGGTGTTAACAGAGATGTATCGCAGATCTAATTCTTTTTTTTTGGGCGAGCAGGCGAATGACAAGGACGATAAACATTTTTTAACAAAGAGTAGAGATAGGACAAAATTAAAATTTTTCATGTATTTTAATGGTCAGATAACAAAAATTCTTACAGGCTTTCAACGGGGCAAAAGATCCTCTTTCAATTAGTAAGAGATGCCTTCTTCCTAATCCCCGTCCCCCCCCCCTCCCAACTTTGGGAACCTGCTTATATCAGGCATGCGACAGGAGAAAATAAAAGATAATGAGTAAATAATTTTTCTATAAAATTGCTTCTAAATTGAGCCACTCGATTTCATTAAAAATGTACATTTTGTTGACATTGACACATGCATACAGCTAAGTACAAAAGAATATAAGCCTTCTCTCTTTCTCTCTCTCTCTCTCTCTCTCTCTCTCTCTCTCTTTACATGTAGAAGAAGAAGAAAAATGGTATTTACCTACATCATACATATACAATTGATAATCAGTATTTTCTATAGGCATGTTTTTGTTTCTTGAATACATATACATATTGAACGATAAACCCGTCCAAAATGCAATAGATTGCATGTTGTTGAACTTTAAATGATACATAAGTATAATTCAAATGTGTTTTAAAGTGTATGTATGTGTATAGTAGTGATAACATGCCAGTAAATAGGAATAAATCAGATAGGCCCATACATATAGAGAGAAAAAGAAAACGTTTGATGAAGTAAAATTGCACTTGATAGTGAATAAGAAAATATCAATATACTAGCAAAATAATTAACTCAAGTAGATCAAATGAACAAATTCTCAAAATTTTACTTGATTTCTCAAGAATGTTTTCTAGAATCCTATTCGATAGGAGAGTGTACAACGAACATTTCGTTTTTCATTTCAAAGTACATACACATGACATTTTTATTATCAAATCTCAAAATATCTGAATATTTTGAACATGAACTAATGTACACACGCATATATACACAAAAAAACCAATGACATGAATAAGAAAAAAATTAGTTTTTTTTTATCCAAATCGTTAAGATCAGGCAATCATTTCAACTATGTTTAATATGCATATCGTAAAGATCTTTTTCTTCTCTTTTCAACGTTCACAACTAATAAACTTTCTTTCACTCATCATTTTATTAAAATTATCAATCAATATCTATTTTTTTTTCATTTGATCATTGATCTAAGACAAATTATCGGAACGTACAGAGATAAAAGTCGCAAAAATTCATAGTGATAGAAATATTTAGATAAACGATGTTTTACATTTCCGATGATACTTTTGTTCTACATGGCTGTAAATATATAAATAGACAAAATTAACAAAAAAAATGGAATATTTTTACAAAATACAAATACAAACAAATGTATTTTCATTGAATTTATGATTTATTTAACAATATACAAAGAGAAATGTTTTAGACTAGTTCATGACAGGTACTAAATGTTAGAATAATTCGAGGAAGAAGATCTATCATCAATTTTGTTTGCTAGTGTTGTTATATACGTTGAATAGACGAGCATAATCGATATTAGAGTTTTGAAGACAACACACAAGTTCATGTCATCTTCGATTGCATGATGTGTGTGTAGAAATTGGAAAAAAAATAATAATAATAATTTACATCTAACAAAGAATTTTCCATTTTTAAGCACATTCCATCTTGATGGGTAGTTCCACTGGGTATGAATTATTTCATACACAATATTTCTTGTAAATTCCGAATTCAATCTTTAAAATTCTGATGAATCGTATGTTCTCTAACACGCCCCTTTCCTCCAAATAAATACATGAGGTAGTAACCCAATGTTTCCTCTTTTAAATGAACTAATGTTTTTGTTATGATCTTAGGAAAAAATGTTTACATATACAAATACCTATATGACACTTACGTGCGTCTGACGCACTGCGTCATATATATCCATCGAATTCCGAATGGTTGAAACTTATGTATACAAACTATTTAGAAAAAAAAGTACTTAAAACTGTTGCCATTGGCAAGATTTCTTCGTTATTTCTCATAAAGTTCGAGTTCGTCTGAAATTTAAGAGAAAACTCGACGCTATGACATAGCCCGATTTTGATTTTTAGGTCAATTTTCTAGAAGACAAGAATTTATTTTCCAGATTTTCAAAATAAAACATTGAAAAAACGTTTAGGAACGAAATTTTAAAAAAATCGAGTTCTGTTTCATTGTAGCCCTAAGTTTTCTGATGTTGAATGGAGCGTCTCGCGTCAAACATTTTTTTCCACACGCTAAAAAAAATTGTGTCGCATTATGTGTGAATAGGTCACAAACAGCTCTTCATGTCGCAAAAAAAATGTGTCGCAGAGTCTAGCAGAAAAATGTATCGGAAAAGTTTTGCGACGCTTTTTTCCGCTAGACTCTGCGACATTATTTTTTTGCGACATGAAGATCTGTTTGCGATACATTCACACATAATGCGACACAACTTTTCTTAGAATGCATAACCAAACACAAGAAATCTCAACTGAAAATTTCCATTAATATTTTTGTGTCACAAAACATGTGTCGAATATGATATTCGAAGTAGTTTTTTTCTCGTAAAGCATAAATTGAACGTTCATTTGAAGTATGATGGCTAGAAAATGGAGAGAACTTTTTGAATACCTCTCAGAGATCTGCCAAGCCTCCAGTTCATTTACTACCAGTAATCGTCCTAGATTCATACTTCTCAGAAATATAATTGAGATTAATTAGACATAAAGAGGAGATTTATGACAAATACTGAAGGTTGATTAAATGAGCAGTTTTGTAAAAAAAAAATACTCGTCAATCGTGAATAAATGGTACGAATACATTAAAATATAGTCATTCTATAATCTAATGCTAATTTACCATTGAATTTTACTTCTTTTAATATCAAAATATGCATTTTTTTACGCGTACTTCTATCTTTTTCTTAGTTGTAGCGCATATTAGACTATACACATGTCTATAGGATAGATAGTTAACACTAATTTAATAAAACATTTAATAAAAAATAGTAGAAAAAAAGAATATTGATCGAACCACTATAGAATTGTTCTTACAACAGCAACATCAGACTCATGTTCAAGTTATTTTCTTCATGCAGTACCATTTTTAATCGATCATTTCATATTTTCGTAGTGACAAGTGTATTATCGTTGAATGAAGTGCCACTGTGTAGTAACGTATCATCTTTATCACTTTTTATTTTTTTACACACTTGACGCATGTGCTTCATTTCTTATAGAATGAATGGAAAAAGAAAA